CATCAGAAGTCAAATGTTTCAGCAATATGAAGGTTCTTGATTATAAATAAAACTTTTAAAAACTTACCAGTATTAAAATTTTATTTCAAGAATTTCCTCTACCGCCTAAAATTCCTTGCATGTAATAAATAAACACTGTCCACTGAGTGGGTGAAAAAATCAGTGAGAAGAATTTTAGACTAAACCTTGTGAAGTCATTTCTGTCTCAGAAATACTTCAAATATTACAGTGTCATTCAACAGGCATAATAGAGGCCTTACTTCCCTGTGAAATCTCCAGCAACAGAAGAACTCAATCCACAGGGCCAAAACCCACTCATTTGGGGATGAATTTAGTGTGGTATCTGAAAAGTATGGGAAAGTTAGTACCCCATGATAAATCAAGAGTCATTATGCATGGCAGCCCCCTTCTTCACGTATCCACCATTCCATCACCATTTGGGCAGTTGATGCAGTTCAGAAAGTTATCAGGAAGAGAGAAGACCAGGGAAGCTGACTTCTTTCCTTTGTGGAAACATTGTAGGTTAGTTACAAGTGTTGTGAATTAGGAGCAAGGCTGCGTTAGAGACCATTCTCTGCTACAAATGGTCCATTCCATTAGGCTATCTATTTAATCTTAGGGGCTGCCAGATGTCTGATTTTGAAGCAGATGGGCAGGTATTTGACTTTCTGCCTTGCTAAAAACAACAGCAACAACAAAAATAACAACAAGAACCCCACAAAATCCAAATATGGAACAAAAGGAGTACCCGGTAATATAAAATGTTACTCTCGGTATAGCTGTTGCTGACAAATTTTACATCTCTATGAATGTGGTTCTTTTAAAATTTGGTCACTTTTTTTAAAAATTGAGAGTGACAGATTTCTTTTTGAAAACAATTGGCAAACTTCAAAGCCTCTTTGTCCTTTTCTGTAAAATGAAAATGCTGCCCAGCCTTGTCCACATTTAGGGTATTAACATTAATCAATTGAGACAATGTATGTAAAAGCATTTTTGTTCATTGTTAAGTATTGTACTAGTGCAAGTTGTTGCTTCTAGTGGCTTTAAAAAGGGTATAATTGTGTTTTCACTCTTTATCACACTATTTAATAAACAAGCTGTTTTGTTTTCTCCAAAATTGTGAAGCATCATTTAAAGACATGTCTAGTTTTATTGATGATTGTTATACATAGATTTCCCTAATCTGAGCATAATACTGAAGTAGAGCTTGTTGAAGGGAATCCACTTCCATTGATACTCATAACTCTTCTGGCTTTTTAATACCTCTAAAACGTAGAAAATATTTCCTTCCTTAATCGGAACCTTTTCATTGCCTTTTGCAGAGTGATGCTTTATCTTCCTTAAGCTCCTCTTCCCTGCTACTTGAGAGTGATAGAATTTTCTACCTCCAGCACGCCCACCTCCCATACTAGAACAGACTGACCAGTGCCTCATCTCAGTGGTGGGCTTATGATGCAGTCCCTTGGGAAAATAGTTGTGCAATTTGATGCTTTTCAACACTCTTTTCATTGTAATCCTTAGCATCACTATTACTCATTATTTATTTATTTTAATTTCAGCATATTAGGGAGTACAAATGTTTAGGTTACATATGTTGCCTTTGCCCCACCCTGGTCAGAACTTCAAGCGTGTCCGTCCTTAAGACGGTGTGCACCACACCCATTAGGTGTGTTTATACCCCTCCTCTTTGACCCCCTCCCATCTGCCTGCCACCCAGTGAATATTATTACTATATGTTCACTTAAGTGCTGATCAGTTATTACCAATTTGATAGTATTACTCACTTTTAAAAACAACTTTGAATAAAACATATGTAGAGTTTCTTTTTGCATTCTTCCTTATTAAACTAACAGCATCATTATCATCTTTTAAATGTTAATGGAGGCCAAAGCAGGATCTTGTACTTGTGTGGTTATTAATGTTTTTGAGCTGGAAAAATCATTCTTAACTCTTGGATTTGTAGGAGAGGGAAAATATCTTTTTCTTCTACCCTTCTAAGTTTTTGGCTGGAATATTTGTAACAAGAGAAAAAAATACAAGTTTCTTTAATGTAAGTTTTATGGAACATGGGAGCCTTCATAAGGAAATGAAGACCTGAAGAAATGGTTAAACCTGAGTGTTTTTATGCTAGGTTTGATGAAGAGTGGAAACTCATGGGAAAACGTGATAGAACAACGAGTGTGAGATACATGTAGTAAGCTGAGGGGAAACTTAACAAGGAGTGTTTTCTCAGACTCCTCTCAGCATCCACCCATCCTCAGGGGTAAGGGTGCCCCTTTCCTCTGGGTGTAGGGAAAGCATCTTTCACGTGAGGTCTTATGACTCGCTTCAGAGGGAAGGGCATGAAAAGTCAGAGAGACTTTCTGGTGGTTCCTCAAATTCCTTCAGCTTCAAATATTTAATGTGCCAAGGTGCCATATTTTGGCATAGTATGTACTAAATCCCATCAGTTTCAAAAATGACATAATGCTCCACATTGTCATCAATTTCAGCATATATGTTAGGAAATCCAGTATATATCTCTCTTAATGATGTTTTGGATGGTAATTTGTTTTTGTTACTATAAGAAACTTGCCCCCAAATTATTTGAGATGAGTAGGCATACTAAATTTTATTGATATCTGGGAGTTTCTGGATAATTGTTGTATACTGTGTAGATTTCTGAAGTAAAGTTGCCATCCTGAAATTTAGGTTGTTCAGAATTACACACCAAGATTAGTCAGCTAAGTAGACTTGGGTCTTCTAATTACTGATCACAATGACTTAAGAAAACATGTTTAAGCTAATTAAACATTTAAGCAGCATTTGCAATCAAAATAAATTCTGGGCTCAGCATTTGCCCAATTTACCATACTAGGAGCAAAATATTCTAATCCTTCAAATAGATTAAACTGAGTGCTGGAAAATTCAATTTCATACAGCATCTATGTGTATATTTATATAGAACTGAAATTAATTATGTAGAACAATTTGAGTTTTAATGCCTGTAGTTATAGAATTTGGAAATGTAAAAATAGCCTTTATTGTTATTGATATACTTGAAATCTTCACCACCAAACCTCCTCCTTGGCAAATTTTAGTATGGTTTTTTTAAAATTCTCCTCTTTAAAATTAATTTCAGCTTTCTACAAGTAAATCAAAGAGTGTTCCACCAGAGTGAGCAATATAATAAGATGAGGCATTGTTTCAACTGTACAAAACTGAGAATTCAGTCTGACAAATGTTTATTGGGACACAGAGATTAATAAGATAAAGTCCCTACCTTCTTGCAACTTAAGTCTTAGAAGAAAGAGGGCATATGTCATGAAGGAGTCAGACTATGAGAGCTCAACTCTGTGTGGTGGCTACTGTATTTGGATGGTCCTAATAGTCCTAAGTATTAATCTGGAAGAAGGCTGACAGAGCATTTCTTTATCATCCAATCTTTTACCCATGGTTGGAATGGACCCCACTTTGGAGAACATGTTATATATGTAAATTTACCAAACAGGTAAGCTTAAGGGGAGGGTTGGATTTACTATATTCCATTACAAAATAGAGGATGGTCTCTTTTTTAAAAGGCTCATTGTTAAGGTTATTTAACTAGCAAACACCTGTAGTAACATTAACATAGGATCAATTTTGTAAAAAATCAATTTACATTCAAAAGGCGAGAACCCATAAGACCAAAAAGCCTGGGATAGTGATAATTACAGTGACCATTTTATAACAAAGGGACATCTTTCAAAAGTTGACATATTTAGATGGCCAAAGCCAAAGCCAAAGGCACAAGGGGAAAATATGGCAAGCGATCCTTCTAAAATTTGGCTTTTTTCTCCCTCCACAGAAATGCTATATTACAATTAAAAACAGAATATCAGCGATAAAGTATTTTTACACCAAACTGTTAATTTAGGATGAATACATTTTTAAAAAAAACAGTTGCTGACTACATAAAGGAAGAAATTTCACTGCTGATACTTCCAGTTTTTGTTAAGAAAGCAATTATTTTTCTAAGTTTCATAGTTCAGGCATTAGAATTCTGCTACTGTTTCAAAAAATAAAAAAATAATAACTAGTTAAATTAGTGTTTGGGGAAATGGATTAGATTGTAATGTATGTAAGCAATTAAGCAACACTGACTTGATTCACTGTGATGTCTGAAATGGCATTTTAAAAAATGAAAGTAGCTAAATTTGGCCCTGATAAAATATATAGCAGCAATGGGTTAGGAGTTTTGCAGTTTTGCCCAAAGAGTCCAATCAAACAACCCATATATTAGGTGGCCGTTAACATGCTGGCAGCTGAATTTTTTACATCAGTTTCCAAGGTTGCACAGTAATTACATCTACTGTGAGTCATTTTTGCAGCATATTTTATAAAACTTTTACAGGTTTGCTGGGAAGAGATTATTCAAAGTCACCTTTTATAGATTCTGCCGTGAATATCAGACACTTCTTTGAAAATGTTAGTGTTTACCACTCACATTGCTTCTGGTTTAAGTGTAGTTGGCATTTGAGGGTTTAGTATAGTATATGAGTAGAACTTCGTTTTCTTTGTAGACCTTCTGTTCCCTAGCATTGCTAGTTTATGTTCCCACTGAGCTGCTGCCAGAACAAAATAAATCCAGTTGCCTTTTGCTGCTCAAGGCCAACCCAGCAACCATGGAAAGAATTAGTTGTTTTGAGCATTTGTCCTAGCATGTCATCAGAGGGTGGTGATGTGCAATATCATGACCAATACAAAGGGGTTGCTCATTCAAATAGCTGACTGATTTAGATGTAATATTTTGGTGTTTGCCCTTTATTTCTATTCCCAATTATATACAGTCAGTGCCCAGAGATGTATTTTAGGATGTGACTGGATAAACTACTAAGCATAACTTTTAGATCTACGGCTTAATTAAATCAAATGTGCATTAGCTTATTCTATTTGCATTAGTACATTTTCACAGCTGAATGAAAAGTCCTGGTGGTTTCTTCAAATTAATATTTTAAACATATATTACTGTTTTGTTTCAGGGATGGTGTGATATTCATTCTAGAGTATAAAGGCCAGGTAAGAAATATAAGAGGTTGCATTTGGGGGAATGTTGCATGATCTTACTGGAGGGGGGCCATATCAGTACTGGAATTCAGGATGGAGGAGGATAAATGACAGTAAAACATGACTCTATGGAAAGTTAAAAGGTAAGAGGGAAGCGAGAATACTGATCTTGTTTGATGGGGCCAATAGCAGCCTCAGCATGGTCTTCAGTCAAGCCCAAGTAAGATGAGATAATTCTAGCTCAAAAGATGTGAGAAGGTAAGATTATGATTGGTATCGTAGAACCAACCTCTTTTACTTTGCTTCTCACCAAGGATCCAAAAAGCAAATTTAATTTTCTTTTCTCCATTCCCTTCACTTTCTCACCGTGATTGTAAACATGGTATAAGCTTTGCTGATACCTCTGCCTTTGCCACTTTGAAATCATCTTGGTTCACAAGGAACTAGCCCTGGATGTTGTGATCACTTGTTTATAGGTTTGTCTGTTTGTTTCCCTTCTCATTCAAAGGAGAACACATTTTTGAAAACTGATTCCAGACCTTAAAATTTATAAATAGCAATTTCTACATTTTTAGGAAAATATTTGAAAACTGCTCATTTATTCACTCATTCAACATATATATCTATTGAGGATCAATCTGCTCTTTAGTGAGGGCTCTTCTAGGCAGTAGAGATTCAGTGGTAAATACAAAGACCTTGTCCTCATGAACTTTATATGCTGGTGAAAGAGTTGATTTAAAAAAATATATATTATTTTAAGTGCTGTGGAGAGAAAAAAGTAGGGTAAGGGAGAGAGAAAGACATAGTGGCTATTTTAGATAAAATGCTCAAGAAAGACCTTTGTGAGGAGGCAACATTTGAACAGAGACCTAGATGAAGTGAGGCAGTGAGCCCCGCAAAGCTTTGAGAGTAGAGCGTTTCAGAAGGACTAAATAGCTCCCACAAAGCCTTTAAGGCAAGAATAAGATTAGCTTACTTAGAAGCAGCAAATGTAGCCAGAGCAAAGCAAATAAAAAATTGAAAGAATGGAGATAGATTATGGAGGACACTTGAGGTCACACTTAAGAAGCTGGATTTTCTTCTGAATGTCCTGGGGTGCTATGGAAAGTTTCAGAGAAAGTAACATTTTCTAACTCACCTTTCTAAAAGAGAGCTCTGGCTGCTATGCAGAGAATATTATGTTAGGGTTATGGTTGGGCATATGGAAGAGTGGAAGCAGGGAGATCCATTAGAAGACTGTACAATAGTTTATGCTAGAGATGTTAAGTGTATTGGGCTACATTTATAGCAGTTGAAGTGGGAAGAAATGGTCAAGATATTTTGAAGACTTAATAGGATTTGTTGGTGAATTTGGATGAGGAAAGTGGGGGAAAAAAGTCAAGGATGGCTCCTGGCCCTCTGGCCTGAGCAAGAGGATAATACTGGTGCCACTTATCAAAATGGGATATCCTGGGGAGGACCAGTTTGGAAGGCTTGGATTGCCATAACAAAATACCATAGACTGGGTGGCTTAAACAAACGGAATTTATTTCTCATAGTTCTAGAGGTGGGAAGTCCAAGATCAAGGTGCTGGCTGATTCAGTTCCTGGTGAGTGCTTTCTTGCTAGCCTCTTTTATGTGTCCCCACATGGCAGAGAGAGAGAGAGAAAGAGAGAGTGAGCAAGTGCTAGCTCTTGGTGCTTCTTCTAAAAAGACACTGATCCCATCAGACCAGGACCTCACCCTCAGAACCTCAAAACCTCAGGACCTCTTCTAATCCTAATTATGTCTCAAAAGCCCCATGTCCAAATACTATCATATTGAGGATTAGGATTTCAACATCTGAAATTGGGGGGAGGAGTCATTCAGCCAGAGAGGTATGGTTTGGGCTATTTTTCTGCTTTTCTTAACTACAGGTGCAGACATGTCTATCTGTCACTCATGTGAAGATGAATAGACAGTTAAATCCCAGAGTGTGGAGCTCAGGGAGAGTTTAAGCCTAGAGATATAAATTTGAAAGGCGTCAGCATAAAGATTTGAAACCACAAAAGGGATGTAAACACCTAGGAAGTTGAAGGAGAAGGAAAAATGTCAAGAACTGGGGCTCATTTTAAAGGTGAAAGAGTTGGTAGATTCTGCAAAGGAGACTAAGTTCCTGAGGTAATAGGAATACTAGCAGCACCCTGTGCCTCAGAAATCCAAGAAAGAAGAGTATGTTTCAAGAAAAAGAAACAGCTTAGCTGTGTCAAATACTGTTGATGGGTTAAGCAAGATGAAAACTGAGAACTGGCTATTGGGTGTGGCCAGAAGGAAAACACTGGGGATTCTGACAAGAATAGCTTCTGAGGAGCAACAGAGAAGAAAGCCTGAATAGAGTAGGTTGGGGAGAGAAGTAATTGTAGAAGTGGATATGGACAGCCTAGACCCAGAAGCCTTTTGGATATTTTACCACAAAGTAGAGCTATTGTCCAAAGGAATTGGATAATAGTTAGGATATAGTTAGGGTCTAGAGAAGAGTATTTTTGATGGAAGATATTATAGTCTGTATTTATGTTGATGAGAATGATTCAGTAGAAAAGTAGAAACTGAATACACAAGAAAAAGCCAGGATAACTGTAGAGGTGAAGTACTGGAATGCTCCAGTACTGTAAGGAAGAAGAGGCAAAGTACATGGGCATAGACTTGATGGGCAGATGAAGTAGTTCTCCTCTGATTTCTCAACCTCATAATTGAAAGAAGAGGTAAGATCATTAGCAGAGTCAGAAAGAGAGAGATGTTGGAACTTGAAGGAAAAAGGAAAGGGCGTGGGTGTAAAAATGGTAGCTTAGAAAAATAGAAGAATAAATTGACTACATATATGTAGTAGGATTGCTGAAGGCCCATTTAAGATCAGTGAATATCAATTTAAGATGAGACCAATGAGCATTTCTCCATTAAAAATGAAGTCAGCCTGTGTTTTTATTTCCTAGCCATCTTTGCTTTTTGGCGCAGGCAGAGAGTAGGTGGAGAGTTGGGTTTTAAGAGGATTAGAATTTTTCTAGCTAAGGTAGAGGTAGAGAGAAAAGAGAGTTTTTTGTCTTTTTAAATCATTTCCAGTTGTCTTTTGCTAAAACCAATTTCCCTAACTAAAACCCATTGTGTATGCTGGTATGTAGGCGTTCAATTTTTTTCTTAGTCATGCCATAACTAAAAGATTCAAAAGCTGAAAAATAGCTTTCCCAACATAAGTACTGTAATTTGTTCTATCTCTTACTTATTTAATTCAAGTTGAGAACTCTTTTTTAAAACCTTTTTTTTATCATTTTTTCTTATATAATACATAAAAGCATAAGTTGTAGAGAAATAATTATGGATGTTATTAGCATTGGCACTTTTGAGTTTCAAAACAACTTGTTACAAGAATGTTCAGGAAAAATACGTTATTCATACAAGGAGATTTATTTAAAATGAATCAGATTATATGTAGTGAATGTACATAACTCACTAATTCCATGAAAACCACTAGTGAATTTAATTTTACTGAGAACTATGTTGAGGGGAGCAATTCAAATACTGATAAGGCAAATTCAAGAAAATAATGCTTATATAGGCAATCGAGATATAAAAAGCAGAGATCTTGCTTGTGAGTCCATTTGAAATGTACTCTTTTGGTCTCACACTGTTTTTTTCTCATTTCCTCCTTTTTGCTCCTTTTAGAGAGGGGCCAGGCTGCAAACTAGGAGCATGCAGCAAAGAATTGGACACTATGGACATATAGAAGACAGGAAGGCATCACCACTGGAGCTTAGACAATGGCAGATTTCTCTTCCCTTCTCTTGCCTGGTTGGAATATGGTAGTATTTAAGTATGACCTAGGAATCCTAAGACTGAAAATGAAAGTCTTTTTAATAGGAAAAGCAAAGAGATTATAAATCTTGAAGACCTTATAAGGATTTTCTTTGCTGGGTAGATTTGGAGGTCCTGCTTAGTAGGTGCCTTTGACTTTTGATTACCATAGCTCCATATCCAGGCCTAAAATTCAGGAACAACGCAGATTTACTCTAGGCTCCTAGATTAAGGAGAGTGCAGAAGAACAATTTTTAATTCTTTTCTTTATTGTCCAACTAGTTCACAAGAACAAGAATGGCCACTAAGATTCAGGGTGGATACCTTATTCAGAATTAAAAGAATAGACATGCAATAGAAGCATCCATGCTGTATGTCTCTCATTATTAACTTGATTGTGCATGCATAGGAACGTAAGATCAAGAGGGAACTTCAACACTAGGCATAGTAAACCAGATTGAAAGAAGCAGCAGGAAATGAGGAAAAGGAGGACTAAAACATGGTCTCACAGACCTTCTGTTTTAATAGTCTCATATAAACTTGTCTGCTTATTTATTATCAAGGGTTCTTAAATTCTGGGAGATTGAAGTGGTCATGGATGCATTTGAGAATCTAATAAAGGCTGTGATGCCCCGCCCCCCAAGATTTTATCCATACAAATAAAATTTTGAGAACAATGTCAAACATTCTTGAAGCCAAGATTAGGAATCCCTGCATTATATCATCTTAAAAATGCAAGCAGCCAATAAGTTATTTATGATATGAAGTTCTGAATTTGATGTGGGGGTGTAGTGATGCCTTGGGTACATTTCTTGAGAAAAAACTTGATTCTCTTCATTAATTTGCAAGGTTTATGCACTGAAACGGAAAAATCAGAGCAACTGCTAACTAAAACGTTATGGTATTATAAAAGAATGCCATCTGAAATATTTCCAGATATTTTTAAGGCCTGATGATCTGTATTCACCCTTTTCAATTTCAGTCTCATCCCATGCAATAGAAACTACTTTTCTGAAACAGATTGTGTAATGATTCTGGGTAATCAAGATCCAATAAACAAACCCCAAATTATAGCGGTGTCTGTCAGATACTTCTGAAAATAATGTTTTAAAATCTCCAAAATATGTTAAAAGAAGCCTTTTATCCAGTGAAATATATGTAGTCAGGGTCTATAAACTGGATATGACGTCTAAGCTATGATGCTCAGAAAGATCTAACCCAGTGATAGACATCTCCCTTATAAATATTTAGGTCAACACCTAGTTTCCACAAACACAGAGCACCTATAACTGTATTGCTCTATTCATGGCCCACTGGGGCTCTCCTGTGCATTAGACTTCAGATAGAAATTATTGGGACAAAGGATAAAAAGAATAATCAGAATAAGACACTCTATGTCACCAAATCGAAACAAAGGCAAAAACAGGGCCTTTCTCAAACAGCTTGAATGAATTTACATCCCTAAGTCTGTATGTCCACCTTTGGATTCCCTTCAACTAAGTGTGCCCTATCCCATCCCCTATCTCCTCCCCCCCCCCAGCCACATGTGCAAACATGCACACTCATGCACGTGCACACACACAGAGGTTGAAAGGTTTGGAGCAAATTTTACTTAAAGGGTTTTTTTACTTTTTCTTTTGGCAATAATATTTTTTTATTTCAGAATATTATGGGGGTACAAACATTTTATTTATATGAATTACTTTTGTACAGTTTGAGTTAAAGTTATAAGTGTGTCCATCAACCAGATAGTGTACATTGTACCTGTTAGGTGTGAATTTACCCATCTCCTCCCCACTCACCTGCCCAATCCCTGATGAATGTTACTTCCATATGTTCACATAAGCATTGATCAATTAGTACAATTTAATGTTGAGTACATGTGGTGTTTGTTTTTCCATTCTTGTGATACTTCTCTTAGAAGAATGGGCTCCAGTTCCATCTAGGTTTATACAGAGGTATTAGTTCACCATTTTTTCTTATGTCTGAGTAGTGCTCCATTGTATACATATACCACATTTTATTAATCCACTCATGTATTGATGGGCACATGGGTTATTTCTGCATCTTTGTGATTGTGAATTATGCTATTATAAACATTTGAGTGCAGATATCTTTTTTATAGAATGTCTTTTTTTTCCTTTAGGTAAATACCCAATAGTAGGATTGCTGGATCAAATGGTAGGTCTACTTTTAGTTCTTTGCGGTATCTCCATACTACTTTCCATAGAGGTTGAAATGGTTTGCAGTCCCTCCAACAATGTGTAAATGTTCCTTTCTCTCCACATCCACACCAGCATCTGTTGCTTGGGGACTGACTTCTTGATAAAAGCCATTCTCACTGGAGTTAGGTGTTATCTCATTGTAGTTTGACTTGCATTCCCTGATGACTGAGACACTGAACATTTTTTCATCTTTTTATTGGCCATTAATTAGTCTATCTTCTTTTGAAAAGCTTCTGTTTGTGTCTTTTGCACACTTTTTAGTGGGGTGGGGTGATGTTTTCTTGCTGATTTGCTTGGGGTATTTGTAGATTTTGGTTATTAGCCCTTTATTGGATGTATAGCATGAAAATATTTTCTCCTATTCTGTAAGTTGTCTATTCAATCTAATTGTTGTTTCCTTGGCTGTGAAAAAGCTTTTTAATTTAATCAGGTCCCATTTATTTATTTGTGTTGTTGCTGTAATTGCCTTTGAGGTCTTCTTCATAAATTCTTTGCCTAGGCTGATATTTATAAGAGTTATTCCAACCTCTTCTTCTAGAATTCTTATAGTTTCATGCCTTAGGTTTAAGTCTATTATCCATCATGAATTAATTTTTGTGAGTGGTAATAGGTAGGGATCCTGTTTTAGTCTTCTACAATTGGCTATCCAGTTTTCCCAGCACTATTTATTGAATAGGGATTCTTTTCCCCATTGTGTTTTTTGTCTGCTTTGTCAAAGATCAGATGGCTATATGAGGATGGTTTTATATCTGGGTTCTCGGTTCTGATCCATCAGTCTATGTCTCTGTTCCTGTGCCAGTATCATACTGCTTTGGTTACAATACCCTTGTAGTATAGCGTGTCCCCCAATTTGTTCTTTTTGCTTAAGGTTGCTTTGGCTATTCGGGGTCTTTTCTGGTTCCATACGAAGCATATAATTATTTTTTTTTCTAGATTTGCAAAAAATGATGTTGGTATTTTAATGGAGACTGCTGTCTTCACCTCTTCTCAACAGTGTGTAGTGAGTTAGGTCCTCCAGCTTACTTTTGGTGATGGCAGGTGGTACTTGTGAGTATGAATCAGCCACACCATGTTTGTTTGAGTTGGAAGACACTATGATGAGCTATATCATTGTTCTCCCTGTCATTTTTGATGTTTGTGTGATAGACCCAGCCCCTGAGATGTTTTTTGTGTCTGTGGTAGACTCTAGTCCCCCAGGTAGAGTACTTGACAGTCCTAAGCTTTAGGAAGGACCCTGTAGCTCCACTGGGGCTTCTTGATCTCCACTACCTCTGAGGTGGGGGGAGGAGCTAGGCAGTTCATGGCTGGTTGTGTGAGCCTGAAAGGCTTTGCAAAGCCTTGGCAGAGCTCAGAAGTTGCTTTTCAAGCCACTAGGGGGAGCTGCTGAAAGGAGGGTCAGGACAAGCTCTCCAAACCTGGAGAGCTGCTCATGGGGGAGGGGCCAAAAGCTTGTATGCTAAGGCCCTGGGTTGGGTTCTTTCTGTCCTTATCCAGTAGCATAGTTTTTCTGTGGGGAGGAGCAGGTGCTCCCCAAAATGAGCATTCCTTGGGCCCCCACATGCCCTGTAAAATTGAGTCAATAAATGCTATAAAGGGCATGCAATGACCTCCCTGTTTGTAGGAGGCAATTGCTGGAAGGATCAAGTTGCAATGTTGTTTTTGGGTCCTGTGACCTAGTCCCTCAGGAGAAGCACTTGAATGACCCTGGTGGTGGTGGATGGAGCCCTGGAACTTCCAGGTGGGTCCTTATTCTCTGCCACAGCAGAAGTGGGTGAGGGAGTGGAGCTGGGCAGGGCTGGGTTGGGTGAGCTTGCCCTCAGGCTCCACCAAAGCTGGCAAGGTAGCTGTTTTGACATAGTTCAGAGGTCTGCTCCCAGTTTCTTGACAGACCTGCTAGGGAGGGGCTGAAGTGGCCCCACCCAACCAGGAGGCCTGCTTGTGGAGGCAGATTGACAAACTGGCAGTCTGCAGTGGGCCTCACTCCTCTCTCCACTCCTCTGCTCCATAGTCTCCCCAGCTGAGCTCCCCAATAACTGCACTGTGGGCTGGAAAGTTCCCTGCCCAGGATCCCAGCCTGAGCTGAGAGTGTGGCCTTCCCATGGAGGAAGGGGTGCCCTGTGAGCACACCACAGCTAGGACCCACACTCAACTGCCCCCAGATCTGCCCGTGTGGGCTCCCTTGCCTCCCAAGAGCAAGAAGATCAATCCCTGACCATACCAGGAAGAAGCCCACTGTCCTGAGTTGCCCACGAGGTACCCAAGCAGAATCAATTTCCCCCTACCTTGAGGCATGCCCTGCTCTGATAGAGCTACTAGGCAAGCAGCACCAGAGAGGACCAGTCAGCAGGGAGCTTACAGTCTGAGCACCCCTCAGTCTGTTACAGGACCCCAAGAGGAAAGGCCTGAGCCCCATTCTCTGTGGAAGCCTAAGTGTGGTGGCTCAATTGCCTCTCCAGGCAGCTACAGGTGTGGGAGGGGGAGGGGAGAACAAGAGTCTGTATGGAGGAATGCTAGCACTCTGGTCATGTCCAACCCTCTCCCTGGGAGGCAGTCCACCCAGAATGTACAGGCTGCAGAGTCACACAGATCACCCAGGACCCACTGCACCCCTGTGGCTCCTGCAGTCTGGGCTGGAGTTGGGAAATGTCTGTGTGGGAATGAGCAGAATGAAACCTGAGAAGCTGAAGCCCCCTGGGGAGGACAAAAGTGTATGGTTGCTGGAGAAGCAATATGGCACTGCCATCCCGGCTTGGGTCTGTGGAAGCAGGAAGTGCCCTAGGGGCCTGGGAGCCTGGTGCCCTGTTCTCAAGAAGTTCCCAGCTCACTAGTGGCAAGTGTTTGGGCTCATGTGGGCAGAAAGTCTCTCCAGCAGCTCAGGAACCCACCGACTGTCAGAGATGGGAGGGAGAGAGGGAGAAACACACTGCTCCACCTACACTTCTCATGGGGCTCAGGCCTCTTGGGGGTTGATCTTTGCCAATACCTTGCTCCTTCTTGCTCTGCACTACAACTTCTTCCCATGGAGTCTCCCGAAGGTTCTGGCACCATTCAGACACCCTTCAGACACACATCCATTCTGTTTGTCTGTCTGTTCATTTTTCTTTTTCATCTAAAGCTTCTTACTGAGATGCTCTGGCAGGTTATCTCTGGTCCTTAAAGTGCTGAAAGTGCTGAAGGTTCAATAGTGTTTTAACCTTAAACTACTAAAGAAGATAGTATGGAACTCTTTTTTTTCCATATCATACTATTCTAAATAAGAGTACTTAAATGTTAACATTCCAGATGTTTAAATAAGGAAAAATTTAGTTCATCCTTTCAAATGTTTATTACCCTCTTAAAAATAGCTTCTAAAATGTTATTTAATTTGGCCATTCATATGTTCTGCTTTCTTCTGTACGACATAAGCCAAAAAACCAATATAAAATTTCAGCCTCACAAACCAATTTTTGTGCTTTTTAATTGTAATAAAAAGTATGATATATATCATATATTTCATATTTAATATGAGAACAATGTATTATGGTTTTTCTTAAGCCTGGGCTGGGTTTTTACAAAGAGGAAGCCAAAATTCATTAAGCATTTAGGATTCCCTTAATTTCTCAAATGTGAATATCATCAGAGGTGAAAGACGATACAATTGTTTCAGTGTTGTCTGTGGAGGGGACGTTGGCCAGACACCTGGCTTGCTGCAAATCACTAAAAAAGGTAAGCCTGCAACCAAATAATTTTCAAGATAAATTTTATTTGAGGTATTTCAAACTATTCCTAGAAAATGAAAACATTTAAAAAATAGTATAGTATAATTAAATCGTATAGTATAATTAAAAATAGTATAGTATAATAGTATAGCATAAAAAATAGTATAATTTATTTTCAGTGAAACAAATAAAATGCCATTCAAAGCAATAGGATTCATAGTAATGTCTCCTTAAGTAGTGCCTTTCTTAGGGAAGAACACATGATTCAAACAAGATTGAATTTTATCTGTGGTTACCTTTTTCATGAATGTGACCCAGTCTCCCTCAAGCTGAGTGTCACTTTTACATGCACATTCAAACATGATAAATGTCATCTTTGCATGTGTTTCACATAAAGATGGCCAAGCCTGTGGCTAGCACAATGCAAGGCCTGGAGATACATGATCTCCCTTTGCCCTTCATCCAGGTATTCGTGAACCAGGACAGTCTGATGTGGTACAAAGAGCAGTGGACGAAGAGCTGAAAGACCTACTCCCATCTATGACACTTTTGAACCATGTGAAATTGGATGAAATCCAGAATCACTCAGTGTTTCAACATGCCTCCCTATAAAACAGAGGGCAATTATGCCTGCTGCCTTCATAGAGTTGTTATGAGAATCAAATGAGATAATGTAAGTGAACATGCTTCAGAAACTGCACTGCACACACACACAGGGTAAAAGAAAATCTGGATTCAAACTTTTATAGTTCCCTGGCTCTTGTTTGAGTTATGAGGAGTTTCATAAATCCAGTCTTTTTTTATGGTTAGCTCTAATCCTTTATAATGATGCAAAAAGATTGGAAAATGTGCACTATAATTGTGCAGGAGAAGATCTGGTACTTTTTCTTTTCCATCTCAATTAACCTCTGCTGAAGGTCATACACAGGCCAGAGCTAAAGGTCCATTTTCTTTTTCGAACTTGTCATACTTTCAAATGTAAAAGAAGAAGCAGCCAGTTATAGAACATTCGGTTTTCTGAAATGCTCTGAGGGAAAAAGAACATTTTCCTCATGGGACTCCCTTATTCACATTTTTTCTAAAATGAATAGATGTTTTTTGTTGTTTTTTTTTTCCTGCTATATCTTCTTTGCCTCTTTATCTCAATCAAACTTGTGAGTGTCTGATTATAATCATCAATGGGCTGTGATATTTCTGTGTGATATCTTACAATAGTGTAGGGCCAATGTGTCTCCGGGGCCTCATAGGTTTGATAATGTTAAGGCTACTGTGAGTAAAAGGAACTTACCACTATAATGATCCCAATTTTATAACAGTTCAGGCAATTTGTATTACTGATATTCCTTTCATAATCAAAATGTACAAGCTCAGCACTTTTAAAAAAAGGTATACATTGTTTCATGCCAGGTTAACATTTGTCATGCAGAAAAAAATATTTCTATTTTATATGCAACAAATACCATTTGAGCACCTACTATGTGTTTGACACTATGCTTAGAATTATGGAATAGAGTAACAGAAACAATACTTTAACCATTGGTTGGGGGTCCTACTATATGCCAGATGTGGGAATACAGGCTTAATGAATTTAATCCTTACAACAGTGCTGAGAAGTATTTTTTTGTCTTCATTTGCTGCTACAAGGGGAAAAGAGACTGAACAAAAGTTAAGTAACCTGTGCGAGCTCACCATTCAACAAAGATTTATTTTCTTTTTAAATTGACACATTGTAATTGTACATATTTATGGGATACAATTTGATGTTTTGATACATAAATATGTTGGATAATGATCAAATCAGGGTAGTTTGTATATCCATCACTTTATGGTGATTTCTTTATTATAAGAACATTCATAACTCTTCTAGCTATTTTTTAATATATAATACCTTACTGCTAACCTTAGTCACCCTACTGTGCAATAGAACACCAAAACTTACTCCTCCTATCTAATTGGAATTTTCAACAAATATTTGCTGATTATATAAGTCAGATATCAGCTGCTTCCTTTCTTTCTCTGGAAATCTAGCTAAGATGGTCTTGAACCACTCAATTATGCAGCTTTTGAAATTCCAGTGCCTCCCAAATTTTTCTGCTAATTTCCACAGCTTTCTCTGTCTCTTGGATTTCACCTAGGACTCATTCAGAATGCGAAACTCCCCCCTTTCTGGGTTTCCATGAAAAAATCCCCTGCATCAAGCATTAATGTTATTTGCAGACTTTTGGAATCTTTTGAGGGGCCCCCTTGAAGGGACTGACATTATGCTACTTACAGTCTTCAGTTCATTCATTCCCAGAACCTTCCTCTAGGACTGCACAGATTTTTGTTCCTTTCTTTTACAGAGCTCCTCTGCTTGCCGAGAATTGAACTTACATACGAAATTCATTATGATACTCCACGGAACCAGAGATCTTCCATTTCATAGGCTCCATGCTTCTTAGAAGGATGGTGTAATTACACAAACAATGTAGAGTCCTAAGTTCATAAAGACCTATTGAGTGTTAAGCTTTGGAGAAGTAGTTAACTACAAATACCACCTATGCATTTAATTTTCAGTCCAATAGCCTCACTAAACAATAGATAGGGCCTAATTCTGATTCTTGGGCAATAAACTGTGTCTAATTTTAAAAATTAAGAGGAGGTGAAAATAATACATAAAACACTATCTGCTTCACTCTTTTAAAACTTACATTCTTTGTGTCCATTATGGCAGAAGTTGGCAGATTTTTTCCTGGAGGCCAAATAGGAATATTTTTTACTTTGTGGGACATACAGTGTCTTAGTTGCAACTGCCCAGTTTTATTTTGTATAGTGACAGCAGCATAAATGACTGAGTGGGGCTGTGTTTCCATAAAACTTTATTTATAAACACTGAAATTTAAATTTCACATAATATTCACATGTGATGAAATTAGATTCTTCATCCGATTTTTTCAACCATTTAAAAATATAAAACACATTCTTAGCTCCATACAAGAACTGGTACAAAGGCTATAGTTTGCCAACCCCTAAATCATGATATTTTTTATAGTTGTGAAAGAAACATACTACCTGTTGTCACAATTTGCTGCCCTGCCCTAGCAAAATCTCAGAAGAGTTAATATAGGTCTTAGAGGAAAATGAATACTTTTCTCACTAAGTACAACAAAGTCCATTATTTCTTACTTCTTCCTATCTCAAAAGTGCAATATAATTATTTTTCTGAGAAAATAGATTTTGGAGTAATGGACGAATTAGGGTGCATTCTTCTTTAAGCCACTGTCTCTCAAATTGTGTATCATAGAACTCAAATTCCCCTAAATTTTAATGTTATTAAAAAAAAGTGGAGGGGAAATTCTATGGGATTTACCATTTAAATTAGGTAGATGTGCATCAGATCAAAGCTGAACATATTTTCTTTTTACAGAACCTTGTATTTTTCAGAGCTTTTTAAATATGATGATGGCAATCATAACTCTCCAAGAGGAAGATACTATATGCAGTGATTCCTAACTTACTGGCCACAGAACTCTTCTTTCTTGAAGCATGTTAAGGAACTGATACAGTAAGTACTTATTTAACATCATCAATAGATTTTTGGAAACTGTGACTTTAAGTGAAATGATTTATAAGGAAACCAATTTTATCATAGGCTCATAGAAACAAATAAGAGCTAAGTTCTTCCAGCATTTTCTGGTCACAAAAACATCACCTAACTTCTAAATGAAGAACCAAAACATGTCAAATATTAAACATTGAAATAAATGTGATCTATATATACATTTATGAAAGAAAGAAAAACAAATAAGATAATTATTTACCCCTGATTTTTGGTGAATCAGTAGAAAAACAAGTAGGATAATTATTTACCCCGATTTTGGTGAATCAATGAGTGACAGTAAGGCCGGGCGTGATGGCTCACGCCTGTAATCCTAGCTCTCTGGGAGGCCGAGGTGGGCGGATTGCTCAAGGTCAGGAGTTCAAAACCAGCCTGAGCAAGAGCGAGACCCCGTCTCTACTATAAATAGAAAGAAATTAATTGGCCAACTGATATATATATAAAAAATTAGCCAGGCATGGTGGCGCATGCCTGTAGTCCCAGCTACTCGGGAGGCTGAGGCAGAAGGATCCCTTGAGCCCAGGAGTTTGAGGTTGCTGTGAGCTAGGCTGACGCCACGGCACTCACTCTAGCCTGGACAACAAAGCGAGACTCTGTCTCAAAAAAAAACAAAACATGAGTGACAGTGGTCATAGTGGTGGTGGGTTAGATCAAGGAATAAATGTTTGCAAAGCAAAAATTTTAAGGAGCACCTCCTCCCACCATACAGTTCAAAAACGAACAGTAACAAGTGTGGTATGTTCAGTGAGCACTGTTGTACTGCATCATTTATTGTCATTAATCTGTATGATTATCATATACTTTATGAATTTTTATTTTACAAAAATTTGTATACATTCATTCATTCGTTCATTTTCCAACCTACGTATTCAAGTCCAGGGTGGAGGGTGACCGGAGCCTATTCTGGGAGCTCAGGGTGCAAGGCGTGAACCAACCCTGGACAGGACACCATTCCATCACTTGGCACACTCACACCCGTACTCACTCAGACTAGGACCATTGAAACATGCCACTTAACCTATGGCACATCTTTGGGATGTGGAAAGAAAAAGAAGTGCACAGCAGAAACCCACTCAGACATGGGGAGAATGTGAAAATTCTACACTGATAGTGCCCCAGCCGGGTATGGATTTTTTTTCTTATCAACGTTGTAGTGAAATGACACTGAACAAAACAACATATTTGAGGACCTACTGTATTCTCAAATCTTGATGTCTGCTACTCAAAATGTAGTCCATGAATCAGAGGCAGCAACATCATCTGAGAACTTTAAAGCCAGGCATGGTGGCTTGCTCCTATAGTCCCAGCTACATGGGAGGATTGCTTGAACCCAAGAGTTCAAGACCAGCCTGGGCAACACAGTGAGGTCCCATCTATAAATAAATATTTTAAAAAAAGACTCTAAGGCCACAGCCCAGACCTACTGAATCAAAATCTTCATTTCAATATGATCCCTACATATTAAATTTTAAAAGCAATACTATAGGCCATAGTCTTACAAACAATGCTTTCATTTAAGCTAAAAGAAATATATAGATCCAGAAGTTAAAATAAATCATGACATGAATTACTAGGAATTTTAGTTATTATGAAAGTAAAACTTACTTCAATGATTACAGCTGAGTAACTCAATCAAATTACCTACATTTTTTACTTCTTCCTTTTTCATTACATTCAGATGTTTGCTTTTGTTTCTCATTTGTTTTTATGGGCTGGGAGAGCAGGAGAAAGACAAGACAGTTGAAAAATAAACTTATGAAAGATACAGTAATTGACTTCACCTTCTGTCTTCAAAACCTTAAAAAATTCATCATTTTGGAGCTAGAAATGTAAACCAGGAAAAAGCCCTTGTTTTTATTTCTGATTCTTAATAGATATACTAATCATTATCATCATCATTTTTTAATATATGTTATTCTCTCAAAGAGCATCTGAAGCTGTGTTATTATTTTTATTACTTTGCATGAATATGATGATTTCCCAAGCAAAAGCCCACGCACATGTTCTTCAACACAAGTTTGTGAAGTTAGGTAGGAGTAACGGCTAAATTTGACTGCTGTTTACTGTAAGTATATTTCTGAGGGCCTTGCATAAAATTTACAACACAAGCTCTGCCTTCCAGACATATATTTGTTTAAAGCTCTCATGATCCATAGCCAAATAGTTTTCTTATATTTGTAAGTGCTTGTTATGAATAACAGCCGTGTAGTTGTTCTATACATCTCTATTGGCAGATACTGTTTGGAAACCAAATGAGATTCTTAAATGGGCTCATATAAATTTTTATTGTGTACCACCAGGTCACATGGCTAAGGAACTTCTCTATTGTTATTCTCAAGACCCCTTTTTTGTGTTACTGTTATTAAATTGCACCGTATGATAAGAAATACGTTCCTGATTTTGTTCTCCAGCTATAACTCTGATCTGCCATCCTCTCCTCTCTAACATCTTGGAAAGAGTAATCAGATTTTAAAAGGTGGACATGACACACAATTGAAAGTAACACTCACAATGTCTCCGTTTGCAAAAACCTTTCCAATTCCCAATTTTCTGATCCCTTTTGTAAAATGGTTGAGGACACAAGATTAAAAAGCCATGAGACTCCCAATGGACTGGGTCCTCATTCTCCTGAGAGATGTGTGGGCTGTGGAGCAGAACAAGCATCTGGGCCACATACATAGTTAATGTGGATGGATATATATAATAAAAATACTTCTGCACTCACCGTGCAGTATTGGCACTGAGAAGACCCTAACACTAGCAATAATTCTTTTATGCAACTCTGGCGCAATGATAGACTGCGAACAGTTGACCCTGTTGTGGTCTATCGCAGAATACTAAAGTGATGCTTGTTCTTGTGTACATTTCCCTGATGTTCAAGGCTTTCTGTTGTTATAAAACTCATCTGCTTGAACATTTCAGCCTAAGTTTTCTATAAAACTGAGACTTTTGGATGATATTTGACCATTCCAAAATATTCAATAACTAGTCATTCATGCATCTAAAGTATAAGTTAATAAACCTGAATTAGACTGCAAGTTCTTAATGGGTTAACATGCAATCCATGTTCACTGAATTAGGATTTACATAATATTTTCGCTTATTATTGCTCAACTTTCATCTTTCTGGACCCACCTCAGATTCTGCTGCTTACATTAAGCCATTTTTGGTTTCCCCAATCTAATAGCTGTTCCTCTTTCAAATCTCTAAACTATGTTGTATCTCTCTCATGCCACATATACTACTCTGCCTTGTGCTGTGTTTTTGTTAACATGAAGGTAATTATAGCATCTGCTTCATATAATTGTTATGAGGATTAAATATGTAAAGTTATGTGAGGCTCTTAGGTCAGTGTCTGGCATATAGTACATGAACATACTATGGAAGTGTCAGCTACTAACATCATCATTATTTGTGCTATCAGAAGGCCTTTTCCACTTTATACAGGAATCTGCCTGGTTTTTCTTCTAGAACTTTCATGGTTCATTTTTTACTTTTTTTTTTTTTTTTACTTTTTAAATTTAAAAATATTTAATGGACAAATAAAACATTGCATTATTTCAAGGTGTAAAATGTGAAAATTTGATATACATACGCATTGTGTACTCATTACCACAGTCAAATGAATTAGCACATCCATCATCCCCCTACCCCAGTTTCTATTTGTGTGTGTGTGGTAGGGGAAGACACTTAAAATCTGCTCTTTTATCACATTTCAAGTAAACAATACAATATTATTAACTATAATCACCATGCATACATTAGATCCCCAGAACTTAGAACTGCAAGTTCGTACCCTTTGATATCTCCCAATTTCCCTCACCTTTCAGTCTACAGAAACCACTGTTCTACTCTCTGCTTCTACAGGTTTGACTTTTTTAGATTCCACATACAAGTAAAATCAAGCAGTATTTGTCTTTCTGTGTCTGGCTTATTTCACTTCTTCCAGGTTCATTCATGTTGTCACAAATGACAGGATTTCCTTCATTTTTGTGGCTGAATGATATTCCATTGCATGTAGATAAATACCACATTTTCTTTATCCATCCGCATTTTGGTGGACACAAGTTGTTTCCATTTCAGCTATTGTGAATAATGCTGTAATGCATATGGGAGGCAGTTATCTGTTTAAGGTACTGATTTCATTCCCTTCAGATATGTACCCAAGAGAAGAATTGCTGGATCATATTATAGCTGTATTTTTAATTTTTTGAGTAACCTCCATACTGTTTTCCATAATGGATGTACCAATTTATATTCTCACCAAGAGTGTACAGGGTTCCCTTTTCCCCACACCTCACCAACATTTGTTATCTCTTGTCTTTTGGACAGTAACCATCCTGACAGGTGTGAAGTGTTACCTCTGTTTAGTTTTAATTTGTATATTTCCCTGATGATTAATGATGTTGAACATCTTGTCATATACCTATTGACCATTTGTATATTTTCTGAAAAATGTCTATTCAGGTCCTCTGCCCATTTATTAACTGGGTTATTTGCTTTTCTACTATTTAGTTGTAGGATATCCTTATATGTTTTAGATATTAACCCCTTATCAGTTATATGGTTTGCAAATATTTTCTCACTTTCTTTTCATTTTGTTGATTGTTTCCTTTGCTGGAGAGAAGCTTTTCAGTTTCATATAGTCCCCTTTGTTTGCTTTTGTTGCCTGTGCTTTTGGTGTCATACCAAAAAATCATTGCCAAGACATCAATAAAAAAAATTGAAGACACAAGTAAATGGAAAGGTATCTCATGTTCATGGATTGGAAGAATTAATATTATTGAGATGTCCATGCTACCCAAAGCAATGTACAGATTCAATGCAATTCCTATCAAAACTCTAATGACACTTTTCACAGAAATAAAAAAAAAATCGTAAAATTCGTACATAACCACAGAAGATCCCAAATAGTTAAAGCAGTCTTAAGCAAAAAGAACAAAGCTAAAGGCATTACTATGTAATCTCACTAACATTCATTAAGTCTTCCGTTTTTCCCCAACTGGTTTTAAATGCCCGTTTTTTCATATGATAAAATTCCTGCAGGTATTTTGAGTCTCTTTCATATACTAGAATGACACAACTCTTAAAGCCTTAAGACACAACTCTTAAAGTTTTTTTCTTCTTAAAGCCTTAGAGTTGGCTTCAATATCTGATACATATAGTCTCCCCCTCACTGGTCTTTCTCTGATGACCATTGCTTGTTTGTTTTTCCAATATCAACTTTAAAATTAGCTTGCATAGGTTGGGGGTGAGGGAAAGAGAAACAAAACCTGGTGGTGTTTTTGTGGAGAGGTGTATATGCTGTTAAATTTATAAACTAACATCTTTGTGTTGTTGAGCTTTCGTACCTAGGTACGTGCTTTGTCTTTATATTTGTTCCAACTCTACTTTTGTGTATATCAGGAATGTTCCTTATATGGGTCTCTCACATTTTTTATATAGTTTATTCCTAAATGTATTAATTATCTTCCTAAACTATAATGGGTTTTCAGCTGATTTTCAGCTCATATCATCCTCAAATGGTATAGCTCTGCATTTTCCTTTCCAATTTTTATACCTCTAATCACTTTCTCTTATATAATTGCATTACATAATAGCCCAGATCAATATTCAATGCTAGTATGATGGTGGGCCTCTTCATCTTGATTGCAACTTTAGGGCACGTCTCCTGTGCTCCCCTATTAAGTTAGATATTGGCTTTTGGGCTGACATATATCTATTTTATTAACGAAGTATCTATTGATTCTATTTGTATTGAGTGTTTTTTAAAGAATACATGTTCAATTTTGTCAAGTGCCTTTTCAGAGTCTATGGAAATGATCATATGATTTTTCTGCTAGATTTATGATGAATTATATTAACCTATGTCCTAATTAACCTATGTCCTATTATTGAACAATTCTTACATTTCTGGAATAAATCTTATATGGATTTCTATGATTCTTTAATAAATAGATTCTGTTTGCTAATATTTTATGATTTTTTTGCAGTAGTATTTATAAGTGAGCTTGTTCTATAGTGATTTTTTGGCACAATCTTTGCCTTAATCCATTATTTCATAGTGTCAGCAAAACAATGATATTATAATTCTATTTTTTTATTTATCCATCATTAATTTTATTCTCTATTAGATAAAATATTTCTGTACAGAGAAAACTTTACTTCATCAACTATTTGGTTACACTGAGGTCTAGCTTGTATTGAAAGGGAAGGTTAAATGCTTCATTTCCCATTTTTGAGAATAATGAGTTGGTTTCCCAGTGTTCTTTAATGACAAACTATGAGGTTTTGTGGATTTCTTTCAGAATTTCTATGAGTGCATGTATTTTTTAATGTATTTCATGTTTCTTAACAATTGCTATGTATTCATATTAATACTCAAATTGTCCCATTTTTGGCCAGGGGTAATGTGGCTCCAGAGTCTTTAATGATGTCCCTGCTTTCTTATGTGGCAAGGTTTCCAGATTCATCATGCACAACTTCCCCCTTAGGCAGAAAACCCGATCTTCACACCCTGCCTCCCCTTGCTCAGTAATTAGATCTGGCCCTACAAAACAGGCTTGACCTTGGGCTAGGCAGCTCAGCTGAGGCTCATCCTGCAGAACTCAAAGCTGGAGGCTCTGTGCTCCCTGCATTCAACACAGCTGGGTCAGTCTTCTTTGCATGGAGAATCTGGGTGAAGAACCCCTTATTCACTACACATGTAGACGTTCAGTCACGTGCGTGAGGCCACCAGGAAGAGTGTTGAATCAACATTTATCACGTGTTGCAACAACATGGAAAGGGCAAGCGGAAGAGGAGCCCACAAAGAGAATGGTAAAGAAAGACCAAAGAGGTAGAAAGAAAACCAATAAAGCATAGTGTTACTGAAACCAATTTCTTTGGATTTTTTCCACCATTGTGTCTGCTATACACTTAGCACAATGCCTTGCTCATAGAAAGAACTGAATAACTTCTCATTAAATAAATGGTCAATTGTGTCAAATTCTGTAAAAGGCTCATCAAAATCATAGAAAGGTGTTCATTGGCTTTGGCAAAACAAAAGTGATGGTAGTCATGGTGATAGCCCGGGCAGAAGCTGCAGTGGGTTGAGAAGTGCATGTGGTCAGGCAGTGAGGACGGCCCCCACAGTGGTCTGCTCTGTGAGTAGCTCGCCAAAGAAGAGAGACTCACTCGGCAGTAATTGGGTGGTGGGGGAAAGAAGGACATTTTCTTAGTTTAGTCTTTGTTGTTTTTTTGTGTGTTTTTGTTTTTCTCTGTTTCTTAAGTTGGAAGAAACCTAAGGATATTCACAGGCTGAAGACCAGGAGCAAGGGAGAGGAAGAAGGTGATGTTAAATATTAGAAAAGGTAAGATTGCCAGAGCAGGACTCATGAAGAGGCAAAAGCAGTTCAGAGCCGTAGCACAGGTAGAGAGATTGACCTGGTGGACATTCAGTAAAATGTTCTTCAGTTACGCATAAGAATGATAAATTAAGGGTTAAGTGTCATAGGTAATATTAATAGTTTTTTATGTACATTAATGCTAGTTGGTATTTCTGTGCTTTTTTCTAATGTTTGCAAGGAGTTTGTATTTATTATTTTTATTATGTAGTTACTTATTGATAAAGAATTAAGAGAAAGCCCCTACTCTGAGAGTATCATAGATCAGAAAGAGGCTGAACCAGAAATCAAAAGACCTTGGTTCCAGTCTCAGCAGGAACATATATGCCTTTGGGTCCATAGAAATAGCTTTTATGACTTGTCCACATTTATAAAATATTTAGGAGGTATAATCAAGAGTATATGTTGATTACTATGAGGTGGGAAAAGAAAGGAAAGAATCAAAAATGACTCCTAGGTTTCTAATTTTGAATAACTGGGTGGATGGTAAAAATACTAGACAGAAAATAATAATACCAGATTATTAGGATCCATTGATGCAATGTATATATATATATAGAGAGAGAGAGAGAGATAGATATACTCAATCTATATGTAAATTAAAACTATTCAATAAAAGACAATGTTCAGAAACTGATAATGTTCCCTATAAATATAGAATTTATGGAATAAACTATAATTAGCTAAAATGAGGAGCCAAACTATAGTACAGTCTTAAAGCATGTGAGGTAAGTGGGAGAAAATAATTAAATAATCTCACTGTTAAAAGGGATGGCAGAAATACACGGAATTTTTAACAATTTAAATTTTCCTGCATTCTTATTTATCCTGAGGTGCCATTGGTCTTGTTATTTAACTTTCCCATTATTTCTTCTGAAACAATTGCATTACAGTAATAGTAGATAAATACAACCCTGGAGTACTATAGATCACTGAAATGTTGGTTGCTTCAAGCAAAAAGAAGTATCAAATCAAGTTAGTTTCTAGATTGCTGTTCTCCTGGGCACTGGTTCATCGTTCAGAGCTGTCAAAGGGTCTTGTCACTCCCAAGCTTCTGTGACATGCAGAACTAATTGTTTGCAGCCCAAGGCATTGCATGTCCCACTTTTAAAGCCATCAAGCCAAGCATTTTCTGAATTATCTGATCACTCTAATTCCTCTATATTAATGGCACAATAATGGTGTTTTAAATTGCATTGTTTTATATTAGTAATTCTCACTCACCTGCTGGGATGTAAACAAGTCCTCATTCTACCTACAGATGATTCAAATTATTTCAGACCTTCTGTCTTAGTGAGTTTGAGATGCATTTTCAAGCTTTCCATATTTCAGATGACTTTTTGAAAGAGCAAAAATAGCATTGTGATCTTTGGGCCAAACCTTTCAAAAGTCCAAACATATGAAATCTTTCCAGATTTCCCCTGCTATTAGTGACCTGGCCACCTTAAAAATCCCAGAGAACTTATCTGAATGATTTGTTTATCACAGCCTGTGCTGCCTAGTATTGTTTACAATTTTTTTTTTTTTTTTTGAGACAGAGTCTCGCTTTGTTGCCCAGGCTAGAGTGAGTGCCATGGCGTCAGCCTAGCTCACAGCAACCTCACACTCCTGGGCTCGAGTGATCCTCCTGCCTCAGCCTCCCGAGTAGCTGGGACTACAGGCATGCGCCACCATGCCCGGCTAATTTTTTATATATATATATCAGTTGGCCAATTAATTTCTTTCTATTTATAGTAGAGACGGGGTCTCGCTCTTGCTCAGGCTGGTTTTGAACTCCTGACCTTGAGCAATCCGCCCGCCTCGGCCTCCCAAGAGCTAGGATTACAGGCGTGAGCCACAGCGCCCAGCCTGTTTACAATTTTTTATTGTTTATCCTGTCTTTCTAACTAGATTGAAGAACCCTAAGGGTAGAAACTGTCTCGTACTTTCTTTTACATTCCCTGTGCATAGGATAATGCTCTGTATATTAAAAAAATAGTCAAATATATACTGATAGTATAATAAAGTAGGACAGAATTGTGGTTAAGAGAAGGGCCTCCAGAAATAAACTGTGTGGTTTTAAATCTCAGCTCTGCCACTTAGGAGCTACGTGACCCTGGACAAGTTCTATAACCACCATGCTCTTCTATTTCCTCATCTGTTATGCAGGACTAATATTGTACCTATTCATAGGATTGTTAGAGAAATAAATGGGTTAATAAATATCAATCATTGAGATAAAATGCTTGCCATGTATAAAGCACCATGTAAGTGTTGTCTTAATGGTGATAGTGATCTCTATTTAGCACTTTAGAGCTTAATTTATTCAATAAATGTGGCACCGCTATATGTAATGTGTATTAACTAGTAATGTTTCCTCTAGAAAAAATATCAACAGTGTCATCTTCACTTTGATTTTTCTAAAGTTGTCCTAAGACTTCTACAAAGAGACTAATAATGGAACCTCAGGACAGTCTGATTAGCTACTTGGTAACATGCTGAGTGATAAGGTAATAGTAGACATTCACCATATGAATACCATTTTAAAGAAGCCTAAAAGCTTTAGAGGCTCCATATACCACTAATGTGCAGGCCGAGACACTATGTTAACACATAAAGTTTTTCAATTTCACCCTTAGTAGCACCATTAGTGATACTTCCACAATATGGCAGATCAACATGATTATTCTAGGAAAGAAAAGAAAAGAGGAAGAGAAGGAAAGGAAGAGAAAATATATAGAGCAAAGAATGTTAAAAAGAACTGTAAGAAATTATGCTGAAATAACACAGAAGTAGAAACAAATATCAATTTTATTCTCCCACTCACTATAACATCCAAATGACAAGATACTGTTTAGAGGTATAGATATGATAGTATTTACAAGAAGGGACAAAAGAGGAAATAAAAAGAAATTGTAAATGAGAAAAGAAAATATTAAAATAAACATGAGGCACTCATAATGTTTAAGCAAATAAATAGTCTTGACAGTCTTTTGTTTAGAGACATTTTTGGAAACATTTTGTGGTCAAATATATTTCTAAGAACCATAAATGGAAGATTATTGCAATGGGAACTTTAAAAATTCTTCTTCATGAACTGCCTTTGTTTTAGCTATCATAAAAGTAATATATGTTCAATAAGTAAAAGTCTAAATAAAGTTCTCCTGTATGTGTGTACACACATGTTTATACACATGCACACACACAAAACTATAAGCTCATTACATTCATTTAAACTTCATATGCAATTTGATAATTGCCTTTCAGTGTGTTGGGTTTTTATTTATTTTGGTATGCATCTATGAAATATTACACAAATGCTATTGCAGAGGGGATTTAAATGTTTCATTTTACTATTTGTTTTTAACCACTCTTTATTTTTAAAAATGAAGCTAGAGAGAAGTATTTTAGTGCCTTAAAAAAAGGAGGCTAGATAGATGGAGAGAGATGGAGAGATATATAGATAGAAATTTCTCTAGCCATACTTTTCACAATGCATAAATACAATTGTACTTTGATTACTGGCTAAGGTCACTACTTTAGAACTTGAAGCTATTTTCATGTCTATGGGTTTCAGTGAAGTCAGTAACTAAATTGTTCATTAAGTATCCAGGATTAGATTTCAGCAAAGGGAGAAAAGGCAGAAGAATTTTGACAAACTCAAGGGATCTGACTCATGTACGTAGACAGGAACAGGGAACACTTGTCTGAACAAGTGCATTCTGAGCCTTCTAGAAGAGCCTGCCAGCTTAAAGAACACAGCTGGAGCTGGCTTCCCAGAACAGTCACACTGTTTGTATTAGCTAACAAGCTCCCAAGCAGTATTTCTACGTTCTAACTCCTCTAATGGAGACTAATTTTCAGTCGTTGGTCTTCGAATTCCAGAATTCTGTCTTACATGTAGAGGAAGTTTAGTTAAAGGATACTAGGAAAGTAAGAAACTAAACTCACTGTGAGTGCCAAACATAAAAGATAACACCTCTGTGCTATGAACTCTATTAATAAAATGAGTCACCTGGAAATACATGTATGCCTATAAAGGACTAAATGGAAATTCACCAAAATGTTAAAAGAGGTTACCTCTAGATGATGGAATTACAGATGATTTTTGTTTTCTTCTTTATACATTCCTTTATACTTCACTGGAACTCAAAGAGATGAAAATAGTTTCAAGTTCTGAAGTAGTGACCTTAGCCAGCAATCAAAGTGCAGTTTTATTTATGCATGTGAAAAGTATGGCTAGAGAAATTTTTATCTAGGTGTCTATCCATCTCTCTCTCCATCTATCTATCCCCTTTATTTTGAGGCACAAAAATACTTCTGAATAGCTTAGAAAGAACATATTGCAGGAAAACAGAATAATAATTGTTTTAATGAATAATGTAGGGAAGAAAGAAGATTAAGATATTATTAATACTACAGTTAATGTCATATGTCTGTTCTTAGGTAGCAACTAAAATCTCAGCTCAGAATCCTTAAAACTCAAAGTGCATGCCAAGAAAAACAAAAGGGAAAAGACAAACCAAAATTTACTAAAAAGAATATACCATGATTGCAGAAAAGACTTTTTTCAGTGCTTTTTAAAAATATAAACCATTTTAGACAGGTTCTAACTAGGCCAATAATTCAAATATTAAAGCTCTTGATGTATTAGTATGATCCACCTAGGCCAGATTAACAACTGTGAAAAATTTCTATTTATTGCCACTGGTTTGAAATAAATCAATTTGGATTTTTGAGAGACAGAGAGGAAACACCTTCCAAGAGATAAAAAAGATATCTCACAAAAGATAGCTTTCCCATGTGCATTTATTGGAGGTGATAGAAAATAATGCTTTTGGGGGACTGGCTCCCCAGATAAGAAAAAATAATTCAATAAAATTTTATATTAAAATAAATTAAATTTAAGAACTCTAAGGTAATTTCTAACTGGAAAAAATCATTAGGAACTTAACAGTTTGATAAAGTTTTCACTACTAAAGTGAGTTCCAGTTTTTCTGAATAGTTTACACTATTTTAAATAGAATCTTATAGACTGTATACTGTAAATAATTTACAACTACATTAAATATCTTAGAGTAATCAGTGTTTGGAAGCTTTTCTTTTTTATGTTGCTTTGTTGTGTGGCTGTTATCTTTAGTTTTTTGGTCCAGTCTATGTCAAATTTAAGTTAAATTCTTCAATATTTCTCAAAATGAGCCTCCCTCAGAGAAGAATGAAGGTAAAACCTAACTGTGTTATTCTTGTATTGCTGTGATAAGATTTATATTTAGACCAAGTATATTTTAAATTTAAGTTTATTTAAAGCCGAATGTAGATGGATTAGCTAGCGTGAATCAACCCTGGCTGCCTTCATTTTGAATTTTCACTTACACCCTTCACAGTGGCTGTGAAATGTCATAGTAAGAAAAAAGCCCAAGGCTCATCTCAACAAAGGGAGGACAGCTAGATTAGAAGGTCCAATTTGGAGATCTTAGATGAGAGAGTAGGTGAGGTTCCTGAAGGCAATAAAGGAAGTGGTAAGAATGGTGTAGCAGTGAGAGAAAGTTTGTCTAGCATCTGTTCCCCTTACTCTCAGAAATCAGAATTTCTGGCCAGGTGTAGTGGCTCACGCCTGTAATCCTAGCACTCTGGGAGGCCAGTGTGGGAGGATCGCTTAAGGTCAGAAGTTTGAGACCACCCTGAGCAAGAGCAAGACCCAGTCTCTACTAAAAATCAGAAAAAAATTAGCCAGGCGTGGTGTTGTAGTCCCTGTTACTAGGGAGGCTGAGGCAGGAGGATTGCTTGAGCCCAGGAGTTTGAGGTTGCAGTGAGCTACGATGATGCACTTTAGCTCAGGTGACAGAGCTCTTTGGTGGATGTGTCTGTCTCAAAAAAGAAAAAGAAAAAAAAAAAAAGGAAAGAAAAGAAAAAAAAGTTTGAGAAATCAGAATTTCCTGTACTCGTTTGAGGGATTTGTATAATATAAATTGTAGTCAGGATTTAAGATAGTGTCTACAAATTGCTGATGTACTAATTCTCACAAGGATCACATTTTCTTTCAGAAACCAAGAAAAACTGAACAATTATAAAGTTGCTATAAAATGCTAACTAGGGTATGTCCTGAGGGCTCTGCACCATTTGCTTCATGTCTGCCCCAACAGTGCTTTCATGTGTGTTTAGTCCTCTGCGTTTATGCCTAGAGTACAGTTCCCACATTCGTAGGAGATTACCAGCCCTAAAGATCTGAAGACATAATCGAGGTAAGATGTATAGACATGTGCCTCACACCCTGAGCCAGGACATGTCAGTCCCAACCTCTCCTGTGGAGGGACGGCCAGCTGGAAAGTGGACACATCCACCAAGCGCATCATCTGACCTGGTTTCGTCCCTCCTTATTTCAAACAGATTTCAGACATCTCTGTCTGGGCCTCTCAGTCTTTTTAGACTAACACTAGCACTTCAGCAAAACTGTTGTATCTTTATGACACTTTTAAAATGCAGAGTTTTCAAGGATTTTTTTTTCTTTGAGTAGTGCATGTA